CGGCGACCCCGAGCAGAAACCCACGTGAGCCCCCTCATTTGCATAATTAGCATAATTAGCTGCATGGCGCCTCGTTAACCGCCGTCCCCGAGGGGGTTTTGGGGGAAAAAAATGGAATTTTGGGGGGAAAAAAGGAGTTTTTTGGGGTGGTTTGAGTGGGAATTGGGGATTTTGGGGTCGTTAGTAGCAACATAAGTTTGTTAATTAGGTTCATTAGCATAATTAGCGTAATTATATCTCATTAATCAGCTCCCCAGAGAGTTTTGTGGGGGGAAAAGGGAATTTTGGGGAGGAAAAAAGGAGTTTTTGGGGTGGTTTGAGTGGGAATTGGGGATTTTGGGGTCGTTAGTAGCAAGATAAGTTTGTTAATTAGCTTCATTAGCATAATTCGCTTAATTATACCTCCTTAGCTCCCCAGAGAGGTTTGTAGGGGGAAAAAGGGAATTTTGGGGGGAAAAAAGGAGATTTTTTGGGGTGGTTTGAGTGGGAATTGGGGATTTTTCAATTACTACCAAAATAAGTTCGTTAATTAGCTTAATTAGCCTAATTGTCTTAATTATCTCTTGTTAATCAGCTCCCCAGAGAGGTTTTTGGGGGAAAAAAGTGAATTTTGGGAGGGAAAAAAAATGAGGTTTTTGGTGGGATTTGTGTGGAAATTGGAGATTTTTCAGTCATTAATACTAAAATAACTTTGTTAATTAGCTTAATTACCACTCATTAACCAGCCCTAGCAATTGTGGGGAGGTTGGGGTGGGGAAAAAAGGGAATTTTGGGTGAGAAAAAGGCGATTTTTGGAGGGGAATTGTGAATTTTGGGAGGAAAATTGGGGGTTTTAAGCTCATTAGCGATCTCAATATTCGTTAATGAAGCCCTAATTAATTAATTTTTGTTAATGACCATTAATTGAGGTGCAGGATTTTGGGATTTGCTGTCTTTGATCCTTTTAAGTTCTAATAAAGAGAGAAAATTCGGGTGTTTAGGTGATCAACACCATCATTAACCACCTGAAAAACACTTCCTTTAATTAATTAACCTTTGTTAGTTAGAATTAATTAAGAAGTGATTTTTAAGTAATTTCTGCTGCCTTAATTTGAATTTTTAACTCTCAAAACCACCAAAAATTAACAATTTTTGGGGGGATTTCCGCGTTTTTTTTGTGGGACTTTCGCCGTGCCTTACCCAAAATGAGTTAATTAATGCACGTGTTGATTAATTATGCTAATTAGCGCCACGGAGACGCACCAGCTGGCCGAGGCTAACGAGCGCAAGAACGAGCGGCTCCGCGCCGCCTTCGGCATCAGCGACTCCTACGTGGACGGCTCCGCCTTCGAGCCCGGCCGGCGGCCCCGGGACCCCCCCCAGGAGCCCCCCCAGGAGCCCCCCAGGTACCCCAAATTCCCGGAATTCCCGGAATTCCCGAAATTCCTGAAATTCCCAAAAAAATCCCGGTAAAAACACGAAAATCCCTGAAAAAATCCCGTTAAAATCGTCAAAATTACACTAAAAAAATCCCCCATGGGAAATCCCACAGGAGCCCCCCCAGGTACCCCAAATTCCCGGAATTCCCGGAATTCCCGAAAATCCTGAAATTCCCGAAAAAATCCCGTTAAAAACAAAAAAATCCCTGAAAAAATCCCGTTAAAATCGTCAAAATTGACCCAAAATTCCCCCCCCAGGAGCCCCCCCAGGAGCCCCCCAGGTACCCAAAAATTCCCGAAAATCCCGAAATTCCCGAAAATCCTGAAATTCCCAAAAAAATCCCGTTAAAAACACAAAAATCCCTGAAAAAATCCCGTTAAAATCGTCAAAATTACGCTAAAAAAATCCCCATGGGAAATCCCACAGGAGCCCCCCCAGGTACCCCAAATTCCCGAAAATCACAAAATTCCCAAAAATCCTGAAATTCCCAAAAAAAATCCTGTTAAAAACACAAAAATCCCTGAAAAAATCCCGTTAAAATCGTCAAAATTGACCCAAAATTCCCCCCCGGGAGCCCCCCCAGGAGCCCCCCAGGTACCCCAAATTCCCGGAATTCCCAGAATTCCCGAAAACCCGAAATTCCCAAAAAAATCCTGTTAAAAACACGAAAATCCCTGAAAAAATCCCGTTAAAATCGTCAAAATTACGCTAAAAAAATCCCCCAGGGAAATCCCACAGGAGCCCCCCAGGTACCCCAAAATTCCCGAAAATCCTGAAATTCCTGAAATTCCCAAAAACCGTTAAAAACACAAAAATCCCTGAAAAAATCCCGTTAAAATTGTCAAAATTACCCTAAAAAATTCCCCCAGGAGCCCCCCAGGTACCCAAAAATTCCCAAAAAACCCC